ATAAGTGACAAAAACGGAAAAATTACCCTCACAGTCAAATTTTCAACCCTCTTGCGGCACCTGAAGATATAAAAAAATTTTTTTTTTTTTTTATCTCCCATAATCAGGAGACTAAACTGCAACTTTTTTTTTCTATTAGAATTCAATTATCAACATTTTCAATATTTCGTTCCACCCTATTATACAGTTAAAAATGAAAAAATAAAATCGAGAATTTTCACACAATAATAGCNTAAAAAATAAAATCGAGAATTTTCACACAATAATAGCATTCGGTAGCCATTTTCACCGTGAAGATAAAATAAAGTCCCAAATTTTTTTTTCGCATAATAAAGTAAATTACATTAGCTTTAATTTAAGATATATATAAAAGTGTCAGACTTTCCGGAACACTTTCAAAATTTAAGTTGAAAAAGTAAATTTTTTGTGAAAAAGTGGTCATTTTAAATCCCCCCCTGTGGGCAGGTAAAGGGTCAGATATAAAAAAAATATATACCAAATGATAGGTAAAGACATCATGCATCTATAAAAAAAAATTTATATTGATCCATACATCTTTCAAAAAGTTATAGCATTATAAAGTTAAAAATATAAAAAAGAATTTTTTTACAAAAATCGTATTTTTTTTATAAACTTTGATGTCTGTTTTCACCATGAAGATAAAATAAAGTCCGAAATTTTTTTTTTGCATAATAAAGTATATTACATTAGCTTTAATTTAAGATATATATAAAAGCGTCAGACTTTCCGGAACACTTTCAAAATTTAAGTTGAAAAAGTTCTACTTTCTACATGCATTTTTATGTTTTGAAACCCCCTGTATTAAGGGAAATGGTCCAATTAAAAAAAAAAAGTATGTCGAATGAAAGATCTATATAAATATTACTTCTCATAAAAAAATTGTAATGATTCATACATTTTTCAAAAAGTTATAGCATAATAAAGTTAAAAATGTAAAATACAAAATCGAAAATTTTCACACAAAAATAGCATTCGGTAGCCATTTTCACCATGAAGATAAGATAAAGTCCGAAATTTTTTTTTTTCATGATAAAGCATATTACATTAGCTTTAATTTAAGATATATATAAAAGTGTCAGACCTTCCGGAACATTTTCAAAATTTAAGTTGAAAAAGTTAATTTTTTGTGAAAAAGTTGTCATTTTAAATCCCCCCTTGTGGGCAGGTTAAGGGTTAAATTTATGAAAAAAATATACCAAATGAAAGGTAATGATATTATGCATCTATATAAAAAAGAATTATATTGATATGTTCATTTTTGAAAAAGTTATGGCACTTTTAAGTAAAAAAAATTGAAAAAATTTCGAAAATTAGCGATTTTTAAATTTGTAATTTTTTTGGAGGTTTCCCCCATTTACGAGGAACGAGGGCATTTTTTTCAATTTTTGAGGGTATTGTCTTCGACTAGATACAATTTGTGATCTTTTGACGTATCATTGAAAGAAATTGGATAAACACATCTTAGTAAAACCAATACCTTCTCAGCTTCGCATCGAAGCTAAAAATAAACAAAATTTATGAAATTCTTTATGAATCGTCATTTAGTAAAATTAAAATTAAGTTGTTAAGATACGCTTGTTAATTAAAAAATTTATAATTGGTTGACTTTTTAACTTAATTGTNCTTGTTAATTTAAAAATTTATAATTGGCTGACTTTTTAACTTAATTGTATCCATAACTGTATATTATAATATTTGTATATTCACATAACAAGAACATTAAATTATTTCAGTTAAGATAAATTTATATTAAATTTGAATTTCTTAAATGAAATGTTACAAAGAAAAATAAGATTAAAATAAAATAACAAAACAACAATTAAACATAGAAAAAGTAAAAAAATGTTTGGTGTTAACAAATAAAAATTTCAATTTATAGTGAATATTATGAAAATTGATATAAAATACAAAAATAAAATTTCATTCATAAAAATATTAATTAAATAGCTCGCCAGCAATAATTTCATTTTTGTGTCTTAATCTTATAAAAGGCATAAAATTTGCATTTATTGGTGTTGTATCTCCTCGAGACATTTTTTCTGCAAGCTCAACAGTAAATGGCCCACAATCATGTCCATTGGTTTGGCGAGATGTCTCGCCTATTTGTAATGTCCATGTAGAAGTTTTTCCTTTTTTGTCCATCTCCCATTCAATTAAGAAATTTTTTAATACCATTGAATAGGGACCCTCATACGACTTAAGACTATCATATGATGTCACAGTCTTTTCAGGTATGTTAACCACTGTCAATATCCAATGACTCTCATATACATTCATGGGCACAAAAAGTAATTTTATTGTGTGAATATCTTTTTTTATCCATCTTCTTACAGCTGGATAACCTCCTCGAAGATACGCTACAATAAAATCAGTGACAACTGCATAAACTTCACCTTCTGACCGTTTTACTATCATTTTAATGTACTCATTAATTGTGTCTGAAGTATACCAAGATGTGGGCGATATAAATGAAGGTGCATTATATTGATCAAGAGATTTTGTGTTCTGATCTTGCATTACTTCTGCAAGTGTAACCATATTTAAACATTTTTCATAAAATTAATAAAAGACTTTGTTGAACAGTTTACTATTATTTAGGTTTATTTAAGGTTTTGAAATATGAAATTATACACGTATAATTACTTTTATTTAAAATATCCATGGACCCCCTTAATGACACGCCTCTGCAGAAGTTATATTAATTTAACTCGTATTATTATAATTAATTATGTTTAATAAATAATCTTTTTTTATTTAATTTTACATAAAATAAATAGATTAAATAACTAATTACCTTTTTCTTTCTCTGGTACTTTTATTACTTCAATAGTGGACAGATCAAGTAAATTTACGTCATTCGGTGTATTTAAGGTCAAACGATTAGAACTGACTTTTGGCTCTAAAATAATTTATGTTTCAAAATATTACATATTTGTTTCAAAANGAACTAACTTTTGGCTCTAAAATAATTTATGTTTAAAAATATTACATATTTGTTTCAAAAATCAAAACTTCATATTTTTTAAAAATGAATTATATTTTAAAAGTTGTATACTTTTTATGACTTTTTCATCTTCTTCGGATGAATTTCTTTTTAAATTTGGTCGAGCAGTAGTATTAGAAGATATCTCAAAAAGTTGTTTTTTTATTTCGGATTTTTTGCGTTCCAAATTTTTCTTATGAAAACTCTTAACGGATCATAAAAATATATTTAATTATATGATAAATTTATTTAAGAAATCTGCTTTAAGTCCAAAAAATGGTTTAGGGTATACCATAAAATCTTTTTATTGAAATAAAGCATAATAAAATATACCTTTTCTAACAAATCAGCTGATATTAATAGCGGATTGTCTTTTGAAATTGCTATATTTTTTTTTTCTGTTGAATTTAAAATTTCATTTTTATATTTTTCAGATTTTTCATTCTCAAAAAGTATTCCGAATTCTCTTTGCTGCATCATATTCTAGGTAACCAAAGAGATATTTATATAAACAAATAAACTATACTTAATATTATATTATTATCTTCGATAAAAATTGAATTTCCCATAAAAATTTAATAGAAAAAATAGCAGAATAATGTTAAACATTATGTTACCGCATTTATATTAAGGGGGTTGATAGTTTATTTTATATTTTTGAATCAGACAAACCCCAATAACATAGCTAAATCGAATAAATATATTAATATAATTATAGTTACCAATTTTTCTGGAATAATTTTATCATTTTTATTCGTTTTTCGATACGTGCGTTTTTTTGGAATAATGGAATTTTTTATAGGATAAATATTTTTATTAATAATTGCTGCAAATTGAATATAATTTTAATAATTATTAATTAAATAATCAATTTCGAAAAAGGTTTTTAATATTAAAATAGTTAAATTAAAGTAAAGCGACTGAATTATTGTTATATATGAATAAGAGAACTTATTATTAATTTTTTTTATATTTTATATTAAAAAACTTTTTCTCTATTCGAAATAGTTAGTTTAATTATTAATCTTATTAGTGTTTACAGATAATTCTTCCATCTTTAGATGACTTTTTTGATAATTGTCCTTTATTTGTATTATTTAAAACACAATTGAAATGCATGAAACGACGATTCCATATTTCTTCAACTCTGCGTATGACCTTATGTAATTTTGATTCATTTGTTTGACCAAACATTTTTTTTTCACTTGCCACNTGACCAAAAATATTTTTTTCACTTGCCATATCAATAACTAATTAAATAAATCTTAATAATTACACAAGACGATAGTTTATTTTTCACGGGAAAAAACGAAGTGAACTGAAATGTCGATAAAATCAACATTTACATCTAATTGTCAAGGAAACTTAATTGTAAAAATTCATTAAAAAAATGTATAAGCCAATTATAAATAAATTTAGTATAAACAATACTTATTTATTTTAATTGTATTATTGGTCAAAGAATACAATATTTTAAGAATAATACAGAGAATTATCAAAAAAAAAAATATATATATATATTTTAAAGATATTTTGAAGAAAAACCTTTTGTATTTGTTTGTTTATTTATTACATTAGTTTACAAATGATAGAGATTTTTTTATGAAAGTTCAAGTGAAATAAATTTGATATCGGTTAACAGAATATTTATGCATATAAAATTTAATCTGTATGAAATAAAATATCAACGTTTGGATTTATTCTCTTGCAACTATTAAAAATTTTGCCCATGTGAAATTGCTATTTCCATTTAGTTATTAACAAAAAACATCATGCCATGCGATTATAATCAACATAAAAATTTATTAAGTTGAATATATAATATAGTTTAACAATTTAATTAATAATTGATAATTAATAATTAATAATAATTGAATTAATGACATAATAATTCTGATAAAAGAAAATAACAGGAGATTTGAATTAATTTTAACGACTTTAACAAATCGAAAATAACTTTAGGGTTTAACTACCTATAGATTTAATTATTATTTGCATTTTTAATGTTATTATTATTATTATTATTTTTGACAATAACGGCTATCTTTGTAACTTCAATGAAAATGACAAATTATCCAAGAAAATCAAGGAAATTTTAGAGATATATTAAGATACAGTGCCCAAGGAGATGACCGTTTAAAATAATTTTTGGAAGCTGAAGAAACAATAAAATATACAAGTGAAACACTTCAAAATGAAATAATTGAATCCTGTAATAAAATTATTTTAAATAAAATCGTAACAAACATAAATGCCCAAAGATGTTTCAAAATACTTGCTGATGAAACGGCCGACATTGGTGGAAGCGAACAAGTAACTTTGTGTGTTCGATATTTAGATGTTGAAAATATGATTATCAAGGAAGAATTCTTCAGTTTGTGCCTACAACAGATACTACTGGAAAAGGTTTATATATTATTATTCAAAGTTTACATTCATTTGGTGTAGAAACAAAATACCTTAGAGGACAGTGTTACGATGGATGTGCTTCTATGTCTGGTCAATTTAACGGAGCTCAATCTCTTATTCACCAAAGTTATCCGCTTGCGACGTTTGTTCATTGTGCTGTTCATGTTTTAAACCTTGCTATTTCTTATTCATCTTCTATACAAGAAACACGAAATTGATTAGGAACAACATCTAAAGTTAGAGATTTTTTCATATACCCAAAGCGAAAAGATGTGTTGAAAAGTCAAATCGAAGAAAGTCAAAAATGTATAACTAAAAAATCATTAAAACAATTATGTGCGACTAAATGAGTTGAACGTTTTTATGCTGTCAATGATTTTCTTGAGCTTTTTGTGTACCTAATTGAATCGTTATTTATAATTTCGAAGTGGAATGACACTGAAACATCATCAAAAGCAAGTAATTTACGAACATCAATACTGAAAGGAGATTTTATTATTTGTTTACTTATTATAAATAAAGTATTTAGTTATGAGTTACTTTGTTTAAAACAACTTCAAAGAAATTAGCAGGTACACAGCATTGTTATTATCAATGGTAGTAAGGCACATTGTTGTGAGTTTATAAATACACTAACTGACAATACAGAAAGTATATCTATGATAGTCATAATTGATAATAAACAATCCGTGACTACGACATTGATATCATATAAACCATTTAGCTACCTGTATTTGTAATCATATCATCATGTGTATTATACATGTATATTAACTCAAAATTTTGAAACTTTAAATGTTTATATCTAATAAACTAATAAAGTTATGTTAAAAATTCAAATGCCATTTAGTATTTAATTAAAAATCCAAACATTTTATTATATTCAAAATATGTGTTCCCATTTAAAAGACAAAAAGACAAAGTTGACACTCTTACAAGGCATAAGGGATGAACATAAAATGTTANCACCCTTACAAGGCATAAGGGATGAACATAAAAAGTTTTAAATAGTTAATAATTTAAGAATAATGTGTAACTAAAGAAAACCAAAAATAATGTTTAAATTATATTTATTCTACAAGTAAATGAGTGGGTTATGATAAAAAAATCAGTCTGTATACTGCAATATAGTTTATCATTTGTAAAGCTGGGAGTAAAACATTTTTGTAATGTTTCGTTTAATTGTAATTTCCTGATCTATTATTACTAGACCAGGAATTAAATATTTATAAACATTTTTGAAAACGATAGTATTATTAATTTTGCAAAAAGAAGAAAAACAAAATATTTTAGTATATAAGACGAAATGGAATGAATCGTAGAGGAGAGAGGACCTTAGGAGCACCGAAGGTATTCTTTTTTCGCGCGGTACGTTTATGACATTAAGTTTTCATTTTGTGTATTGTTTTACTGTGTTTTTAGTGTATATTTATTTTGTATGTTTTGCATTATTTAATTATATCTATAATAAATACATTTGAGTTATTATTAAACTTTAATTACTTTAAGTTAAGACACTAGGGTTGTTTCTTTTAAGAGAAAACAGTACCAAAATTTTAAATTTCAAATTATTTGTCAAATCCCAAAATAGTAATTAGAAAAATAGTAAGCCACTGGTAATAACAAAAAATTATTGAATTTGTAACGAAACGGATGTAATTGAAATATTAACGGCACAGTATTTTTATTTAATATTATATATTAGTAAATTATTAAGAATTAAGTTATTAATTGTTAGTACTTTTTATATATTTAATTTAATGATTATTATATATTATCTTATAGAAAACTTCTATAACACTTTATTTTTGTTAATTATGAAAATAAATTACACATTATTGTTTAAGCATTTCTATTCTGGAGATATATGTACATCAATACATATAAAAGCACAGTGTCAAAATCAAAATGGCGCCTTAACAAGAAAAAACACTATTCCATGTGATAAAATGTCAATTTTTTTAATATACGTTTTTTCTCATTAATAATATCGTACATTTTTTTATGGAATACTTAAATAATTTGTTGCACGGAATTCTGTAAAAGATTAACTCTGAACTACATATCCTGTGTAGTAAAATACATAAAAAAAATATTACGTATACAAACTAAGGTTGTGCAAAATTGCATATTATAGCTCTTCACGAAAGTAAAAATGTTTCTGAATTATATTTAAAATACTATTTTATTTATAATAATAAAATATATTATAAGTTAATAAATTAAACTGCAAAAAATCAATGCCGAAACCAGGGATCGAACCAGGGACCTTTAGATCTTCAGTCTAACGCTCTCCCAACTGAGCTATTTCGGCTGCTTGATTGATAGAAGATTTTAGAGTTATTTAATATAGTACTTACACTATTACTTATAATAAATTATTTTTCTAATAATATTATACCTAATAAAAACTAAAAATATATTTTTAATTTTTATATCCAAAAATATTAAGAAACTCGTAAAGTTTCTAGTAACTTCTAAAAATTTTCATTACACAATTTTAGTTTTCATACATACAAGTAATAAATTTTTATAACAAATTATGAATATTGATATTCAAATAATCATATATAATCTCTTTAAAATAAAAACTTGAAAGTAAAAATGTAGGAATTTAAAAAAATTTAATTTCCATAAGCATGATTTAATGCTTTTAACAATAATTTTTCAAACAATACGAAATTATTAAAAAATTCAATTTTCTAAATTAAAAAAGAAAATGTTGCATATATTAACTAGAATATAATCTTCATTCTTACTATAGACCTCATACTAAATATAAGAGCCTTATAATGTTACAAATCTAGTTGTAATAACTCAATTCATTTAGAATCTCCCTTTATATCCTATTTTACTAAGCCCCTCACGTAAGCAACCTCTGGAACAATTTTACGGTTTTTCGCCCGTTAAAATTCCCGTTTTTCTCTTTTCGCCGCATTTTTGGTACCGTTCGACGGCCCTTCCGGTCCCACGTCTTTTCCTACCTTCGTTCGAATTTTTCGCCTTCTCCGTTTTCTTAAATTCGCGAAAAACGCTATTTCCTGGAACGGAAAACGACGCGAAAT